ATTAATTATAATTAAAATTAATTAATTACAATTAATTAAACAATTACTATTTTTTTATTAATCATTTATAATTAATTATAATTAATTGAAATAATTAATCAAAATTTATTAAAAATCAATTAACACTATAAGTTATAATTAATTTAAAATTAATTATAACTTATATTAATTAATTTTTATAAAAATATAATTAATTAATACTAATTAATAATAATTAACTTATAAATTATGACTGATTAAAAATAATAAATTTAATTAATTATATTTAATTAATATAATTATACTTAATTAAAATAAATTTTATTATATATATATATAAACAAAATCCCTCAGGCGAATTTGCGGGATTTGGCCGAGAAGCATGCGTAAGGGAGATAGCTACCTTCTCAGTTAACGAGCTCTTGTTCTTGCGTCCCGATCAAAATGTCGTGACAGCCAATCGGGCAAGGAGAGAAAGTCGGAGGAGGAGGCGTCGGGTGTGGAGTCGGACGGCAGGGCTTCGGGATTCCGGTCCTAGGAGCTCGGATGGGAGGTTTCAGATAAGTAGAGCTCTCTCTCTCTCTCTCTGGACGGAAGAAATGGGGAGGCCGCGCGAGGGGTTCGGCAGAAGAAGCCGTGAAAGGGAGAAGGTTGTCTCCACAGCAAGCAAGCTCCGGTTCTTTGCTTCCGATCGGAGGGGAAGATCGCCGGATAGGGAGGAGAGGGAGCTCGGTCGATTGGAGCGGAAGCAGTGAGTGTGGAGTCGGACCGGGATCGGGACGTCGAGAGTCGTGGGAGAGATCAGAGAGAGCGAATGGAAGAAGTGTGTGTCAAAGCCTTGCTCTCATCTCCCCTTTATAGATCGAGTGCAGCGACAGAAACGAGATGATCTCGCGGGATATCCGGACTGCTTCGGCGCCGTTTGCAGAATCGGGTACTGTAGCAGTCGGTGTATTCAGCAGGATTTACTGGCATTCGAACGGGATTTGCGGAGATTTTGAGCGATTTCTTAACGGATACGAGGCTAGTATGATTTCCATTTTTGTTCTTTTACACATAGGTCAACAGTTTTCCATTCATCTTGTCTTGGACATTAGGAATCTGTAGTAAAAGGAATAAAGCTTCACATTGGGCATGGTCAATGGTTAA